CCAAGGCAACCCTTCATTTAGACGGCCGAAGACGACCCCCCTTTTCTGCATTATTTTCGTGGAAATAATTAAGAAGGCTCGACTGATACTGCAGTAGTAATTGCAAATCCTCAAAGACCTCCCTCTCCTCATCACCTCCAGCCAGACACTTTTGCAGACTCTAAATAAATAGTAACTGTTAATTAAAAATAATTACTTATCTGATGGGACAGAAACGGCCTCTTCATAGCTGCGTCGAAGATGTTTGCAGATTATATATTGCAGAATTAAGGATCAGAAGTGGAAATTTAAGCTTTCGCATTACAGAAAAGGAGAGTTTTAACAATGCTGTGCTTTGGTATTCGACGCATTCAAAGAGGGCCGAGATGCATGAGTAGGCAGTGGGAGCAGTGAACACGACAGCCAACACCACTAGGATCAAAAAACCACGGCCAAAGTCGGTGGCTTTTAGCCGACCTTTCATTTTTATCGCAACACTTCCATCACCTCACGGATTGCAAGGCATTCCAAATGCCTGTCACGTTCCCAGAGTAACCAATGGTTCCTCTGAGTGATTAAAAAGTGCTCTTTTTATAGGTTGCAGGTGGGATACGATTATTCACAAGTGTCATTTATTCTAAGTCGTTCTATGCGACTGTAAGCATCACAACAATTTAAAGCAGCAAACCTCCAGCGCTATTTGTTGCATAAAAAGCTGCTAGTACAGCTAAGCCCGGGCATGGGTGGTTTCATTTTTTAGCCAAAAGTGGGACTCCATCTCTTCGAACTGTGCGCTACCACTTGGGGCTGTCCAAGTCTTGCAAAGGTTGTTAGCAATCCTATGAACAAGACTAAAAATTGTTTGTGCCTCAGCTACACTACACCAGGCTTAAGCTTCAATTAGTCCACTTTGGGCCTAAAATGCGTCAAACCTACCTCTTGAGGCGGAATATCAAACGTGATTGTTCTCAGATCCACCATAAAGCACTCCTCCACGCAGGGTAGGCACAAAAATATCCCTAAGCATTTACAAGGCAAAAAAAAACATAAAACTGTCAGATTTTTAAGTTAAATAATGCAAACTGCCTGTCACATTGTTCGTGCATGCACATAATGCGCGTTTAAGTAGCATCGCGAACCAAAAAATCTTTTCATTTACGCCAAGCCATGCATTGGCCCTTTTTCCATGGGGAGAATTTCCTTCTATTTAAAAATCTTGTGCAAAAAAAGTCCCGACATAACTTCAATTTATGTTCTGGAAAATGCGCATTAATATGACTACTACCACCGTACACCTCAAATCTAGAAAATTGTATGGTAAAATCAAAATTACGAAATTCACCTTCCTTCCTTGTCGTTTTATTCACTGATGTCCGTTAAATTTGCCATAAATGAGGCAAATGGGCAATAACTCCTGTGTTTTGGCTTTTCTGCGCGTCTTTGCCTTTTATTCCCTGGCAGTCACTAACAAAAACCCAAATATTTGCCGAAAATTTTGGCTGAAAGAGAAGCATATGGAGGACAATTTCGTAGCTTTGTCATGCCATGCGACTGTCACTTAGGCTGTTCCCTCCAATGTTTAATGGTAGTCTCACGTCCTCTCCTTCCAATAACTCAAGTCACTCATTTACCACAAGGCAATAATTAATTAAGTTATTTCTGCTCTTGGCCAAATGAGCAGTAAATTATTTTTTGACACACTCTCCTCTCACAACTTTGTCGTTTCTACTGTCTTTGAGGTGGCAGAGTGCGAAGCCTCACAAGCGTCAGAGTAGGCTGATTTGGCAGAATTTTTGGACCTTCAGCGTCTGTCAGGGTGGCATACATTAAAATTTGCGCTTTAATTAATTTCCCCTCGTAATGAATCCTTGTTGTGTATATTTCGGGTTTTACTTTGCTTTGGAGCTTCTCCCCTGTATAATTTATTAATTCAACGAGGAAAGAAGTAAAGTTTTGGCTTGCAATAAATGCAATGCAAGGCAGCCTGTGTTGGGAAAAAGTGGCAAAGTCAAAGCGAAAATTTTACATCAACGGTGAAATCTAATTTTTTGGCCTCCTATCATTTTTGCATCAGCACTTACATTTTTAGTTGTTTTTGGATAAATTCGTACTGCCAGGCGTGTGGAGTGAAATGCACAGACCTTTACTGCCATTGAAAGTGCAACCAGATTTGTGATAAAACGGTTTGCATTCAGCACTGAGGTTGCAGGGGCCATTATCCGACTGTGTGATAATTAAACTGCATTTGTTTGAAAATGACTGTAAAAATTGTCAAGGCTTGAGTCTACCGTTGTCCAAAGGCTCTCCAACTTTCATGCTTACAAAAAAAAAAACTGTAACCGCTGCAATGCGTTGTCTGATCGTCGGTATAGGTTGGAGGTCACATGAGGAGCCGTAAAGTGTCTCTCGAGTGGACAGACCGAAAAGCCATGGCAAAAGTGCAACCTCTCTTGTCCTTCTGCTTGAATGCACTTATTTAACCCACATGCTGTGCCTTCTACGGTCTATGGAGAAGTCTCAGGCAGCTACAATCTAAAATCTTCCCGTATTATGGCTGACCATGGAGAAGGCTTCAAATGTGTTGCATCCGCATTCAGTTTACATTAAATTGCTGTTAAAACAGATTTTGTTTTTTTATATATAGAGCATCTCATTTGGCATGTTTTGAGAGTGGTTCAAAGGGGGCTTGGACGATCCAGATCCTGCTTTTAAATTTTACAGCCAAAAACAGAAAAGGTGTGTCCATTTGAATTTGGTATTTTTTTCGAGACTAAATGACTAAAATCGGTGGCTTAAATAAGTGGAAGGGATGTGTTGGCTTATAAGGACATTTTACGCAAATGACTTGAAAACCTCCGACTCACCTGGTCCCTTCATACTGCCAGGCATCACACGACCCAGTCGAAAGATTACGGCGCGTTCATACTCCTGCACAACCTGGAACACAACGATAACAACCGCTTCTGCGTTTTAGACCACTTTTCTCTCTCTACATAACCATTGCTGCATCATCAAACAGATCGCATTAGAAGCAGAAGGACCGCCTGTGTTGAATGCATTCCCCGATCCTAATGGCGAGCTAATTTATGGACCAGACAACTCTGCGTCATGACCATGCTGCTCTGTTTCATCAGCGCTTTCCTCTTTTAGCACTGACCCTGCTAAATTTTTTTGTGCATTGCACTCAACTTTAGATTCGCTTTTAACCAAATAATTTATAATTTTGTCATTAGACTCTCCCCTCCTCCACATTCATGCTACACCAAGCTGATACACTGGTTGACCCTCCTGATGCCTTCTTTCACTTAAAATAAAGCGGCTCCTTTGCTGTGTGTGTGCATTTTGCTAAACTGAACAAAAGGTTTACTAATGCCAATGTATAAAGTATGCATGATTTATCAGTCCTCTGATCGCTTTATGGCAGAAGCGCAAGGAGTACTGAGGGACTTTCATGCCTTGCGATCACATCTTTACACCGCAGAGCAGGAAGAAAAAATGAAACAAAATTTATTTTCCAGCCCAATTGAATGTTGACTTTTAATTTACTGAAATATTCAATTGGGACATTTCTCTCTCCTCTGTGTGTACAACACCCCACCGAGACCGGGGCACGACTTGTCATCATGCCGTATGGTCAGTGGAATTGCTCTCTTATTTATCTTTCTATGAAAGGTTTGAAGGTAGTCTCTTGTTTTCAACTATGTTTCAGACAAAGTAGGCAAGAAGTTTGCTGTCCACTTGGTGTGTGATGTGGTTTGAACACAAAGACGAATGGCGAAGTGACAGTGGAACGAATTGCACAGTTTAACAGATTCCAAAAGTTAAAACAACTCATTTTCAACTATTTAGTTATCATTAATGAATGCGCACTTACTCTGAATTTAAAATACTTCATAATGATTTTATAGCAGGCTGTGCTAGTCTTTGGTCAACCCTCTTTTACTGGATGCATGTGTTTTGCTGACTTAAGGCAAGACTTACCTTTAGGCAGACGAAAACTGACACAGGAAGGAAGAGGACGAAGACTGTATAGGAGAGGAAGTACAGAATGTGTTCGCAGACTCCAGATAGTGCCCTGTTTCCGGTTGACATTTCCTGTGACAACACGAAAACACCTTGGTTAGTTCGGACCAGGCCACACCACAAATCTTGCACCGAAAAATTGAAAAACATTATTTCTCCGCATTCATGTAATGGTAAGTCTGGCTCCAATCAAATTAAACATTTAAAATATATGTTGCATTGGTTGCATCAAATAATTTTTTTGCTGGAATTGCAGGTTTGTTCTCACTTTGTTGGCCACTATCCTGCAACCAAGCGGACACATCGGTCCCGTAAAACAATGAATGCGGGCAGTACTCAACTACAGACGTGTTGTTTTGATAATGATTGTCATATTGTAGACTATACAGACAATTTGTGCCAAAGTAAAGCTGAGCAATGCTAGTTCTTCCATTGTTAAAGCTTCCCTTCTTTTCCACTTATTATTGTGCGTGGCTTCTCAGCCGACGGCATTCCTTACACAATGGCTAGAAGGAAAATCCCTTTTTCGCTAAAATCAGTGAGCGTGAATAAAGGGTGCATGTGAAGGGAAACAATTTGCAAGTATTCAACGCTTGAACAAATTTCAATTCAAATCAAATGCTGAGGCTCGACGTCAGTCAAGTAGAAGGGCACCACCTACTGCCAATGAATGTCCCAACACAGGCACTGTATAATTTGCTAGTTTGAAGACTTTCTCAAGGTGGATTAAATAAGGTGAGCAGGATCAGCCTTAACAAGTGGACATCAAGTCTCGAAGAATTTGCCGCTCTATGCATTAATGAAGGTGAGTTAATGACACACTTTTGGCGGGTACAGACGCTGCACCCTCTTGAACAAGCGAAGGGTACAGAGTTGAAAAATTCTGCAATCAATCCCAGGGGAACTGCTTTCATTTTCCCATTTCAGATGGCTGACCGTATTGTATCGCCATTGTGGGTCGTGATTTACTGTCCTACATTCAATCAGTACTACAAAAATCACAATTTACCAATTTGAACTGCAAGTCTGGGTTGGTCAGTGAAATGTTCAAACGGAGGGGGAAAATAGTGTGCTAAGTGGAACTTTTTGCGTCAATTTTAATCATGACGTGCATGTTTGTCTTCTTTTCAAAAGTCACCAAAAATAATTTCCGATTTTTAAAGTCTCTATGGTCAGATATATTTCCAGACACACTTATGATATTTTCTGATACAAAACGGTTTATAAAACCGTTGCGCCGACATCCTCAAACACCCCTTTAGATTTACAATGCACATGTCTTGCGCAGTAAAACTGCATCAAAACCCCAACCACTTGTCACACAGGCCAAGTCAGTGAATGCTGTGCTGTCTTTCCGTCAAAGTCAACATTTTGCAGTTGTAACCCATCGAAGTCAACGGTCAATTGGCCAGGTAAGTTAAACAGTGTCATTTTTTAATCACTGGCTGTGAGAAGCACGAACTGTCAACTCTAGTTCTGCCCACTGAAATTTGACGCAAAGTGAAATGGTGGTTTACTAAAAAAATTGTCTATCTCCTGCATGATGAACATGCACACTCATAGCCGCTACTACTGAAAGCTCTCTGTTGGAGTGGAATCAGAGGCGGTCCGGAAATCTCTGCACATTTTATTGCCGTCATTTTCGCGCGAATCTTTTCACACAGTAGGTTGGTAACACTACTGAGCTAAAAAAATTGGCACAAAATCAAGTGTGCAGGTATTTGCCTGATGCACCCAACAATGAGTTGTGTCTAGGCTAAGTCAAGTTGATGGATAATAAACATCGTGATTCGAAGTGGAAATCTGAGTATGATTGGTCGCCAGTTATATTTTTTGAACAAATAGAGCACCTCCAATGAGCAGGCTTCACTAAATCGCTAAGGGTAAAGCCAAGCCACGAGTCTCGCCTCTCAAGTGTTCACTTCTTAATTAATTTATTAATGCTTCCGCAAACAATACTTTATGCGAACTCTTTTACAGGAAATGAAGTATAAAGGCATTAGCGTCAACTTGTGCCTTTTACAATGAAGGAGTTGCATTTGCAAATCTCTCGCTTCACTATTCACTAAACCTCGTCAACTCGTGAATTTTTTAGTCCGAAAGCAATAAAAGGTGAGTGACATGTTGGCTACTCATGGCAAGAGTGTGTGATGGAATCGTTTGTTGCGAATTTCTACAGCAAGTAAACTTTTTGTGTGGCTTGACACCTCAAGGTCACTCCTTTCATAATTTAGGGAAAAAGTGAGGAGCTTGACAGACCCGTTCTGCATTAACAATGCATAGGGCTGCCCAGTGGTGTTAAAAATTGATCAGTGCCAACGCTCCAAGCGCTAAACCACCTCCAACGCATCGTACAAAGGGACACGCAATTGTGCATTAATGAGTGACGTTTTACCATAATGAATGATTCAAGCGTTCTGGCCTGTGTACACTCCGTCACGGCGGGAAATCGCTGATTTATGCAGCTGTCATGGAATAGGGTAAAGCTGAAGCACGCCTTTGATCTGAGCGGTGAAGTGAGAAGGGATATGCAGTGTCTACTTCACATTTTAAATCATCTACCATAAAAGCGAATCGGCTGCAGAGAGTTTCACTGCTCATTTTCTCCGACAAATGAATCCAGCAATACGTCGAAGCGTTTGATTAAGTATCTTGTGCACAATTAACCTTATGCTAGATTTTGGGGTCGTGGTTTTGACTCCTTGCCTCAAGAGGGAGAGCTTTCGAGGACGCTAAATTTTGCGTATTTCTGACTGCCTCCGGGGATTGCTCACGTTGAAACGACTGGAAAGCCGTGCTTTCAAATGCCGAGGACCTAACGTGGATGAAATCAACTAACACCTTTCCTTTATTACGAAATAAAATGCACATTCAGAATTTTATATCACGCCTGGACAGGTTCGTGTGACTAGGCCGTTGGATTTAAAGTAAGCGATCAACTTTTAAGGGGCTTTTTCCGGTCTAAAGTTATAACTTTTGTTAGCATTCCTTGTCTCATTTCATCGCAAAATTTGATTTTGTCGATGTTTTCCTTTGCCAAAGGATTAGTCAAGCGAAAGTCTATCTTTTTACGAAATGAAGCATTCGTTCCAGTTGGCGTGTTCATTTTCAAAGTCAAAATGTGAACTTCTTTCCTTTTTACTGTTGCCCAGCAGAGGAATGGACAGTTACTCCCTTTAGTGACACCACCATGGCGGAAGCATTTGCCATGCAGGGAGTTAAAATATGCAAATGAGGGATGGTTTGAAGTAATAAGGGAAAAACTCGTCGAAGTCTCCCAAATCCACAAATATTATTTCGCCAGTTGTTTAATTCAAACAGGTGGTCGGACACAAAACCGAGTTCAAAGGTAAGTGGTTTTTACCCTCCAATAACTGGCCCGTAAATTGTCCAAAGTACCTCTGATAAGGTGGCAATAAGGATAAACGCTTACCCCACTCGACAACTGCGAGCGCTCATTTTTAGTTCTTTTTCCTCTCAGGTGTTAATTAATAAATCAACTCTTCTATAAACTAATAGTACAAATCATATGTATTTACAAGAACTGGCACTAATTAATCTTTCAAAATGTTGCAAGTCACTTCGCACAGCCCCAACCGTTTATCTCCTCCAAAAAATGCACCGCATTAACTTGGAAAAAGACGCTTATAAACCGATGAGAGATTTCATGGGAGAATTCGCTCTGAAATTTGGCTCTGTTGACGTAGTTTCAATAAAGTTGGCACAAAATGTTTCGAAACTTGTTCGAGAGGCTTTGTTTGGACACCGCCCCACAATCCAGAAATCGCAAAGTCAACTGAACACGGTAAGGTCGCTGTTTCTTTCTGTCCTCTTCTTAGCACGGATGTGTGTGTGGTGAATGTGAGAGCTTAAAAAGGTTCTGAATCTACTTTATGGCAAAATGTTACAGCTAAAAAGGGGCGGTCAACGATTATGAAAGCCAAATTAAAGGCTGTACAGGCCCTATCTCGGTGTGATTTCAACCCTCCAGTGTGAGACACAGGTAATTAAATTCTCCGTGCTAAATAAATTTCATGACTTTAGAAGAGTCACGTCAATTGTTTGCTCTACTTGTGTCAAACGTTATCTGCTTTCCTCGAAGAAAAACAAGCTACTCAGCACACGCTATTAAACAAGTACTAAACTAACTTTATAAGTATTTTAAAATGCAAAATCAACTGTCACTACAACTGTTGATTGTACTAAATTGGGGGGTACGGAGTCGAGGCTAAAGGAATGTGAGAGGCGCAGAACGGTGTATGCTTAAAAGGTCTTCAACGTACTTGGAAGATTAGATGTAATTCCTGGTGTGACTTAGTTCCATTATTATGTTCTTTAGTCCGGTGAGGGATGATTGAGAAAGGGTTGTTCAGTTCTAAGCGTATTTCACTCCTCAAAGATCCAATCACCGCGGCCGAAGTCGCACGGGCTTTTTCAATTGGTCAATGTGAGTGGTTGCGTACATGAAGGGGTTAAGTGGATGATTTATTTATATGATGACTGATTTTTCTCCTCTTCTGCGAAACCCCCATCACTAGGACCTGGCCACCCTAAAGATACTTTTCCACTTTCAGCGTACAGTCTTGTTGGTTGGATTAGGAAACGGCAACGGGGCATCGTCCCTAAAATGATTGCATTAGCAACCCGTCGAAGGCACATCATGGAGCTTATATTGCGCATTTAAATGGGTCATAAGGTGGCTAGTAAAGCCTTTTTTTATCAACCATCTTTTTGAACGATTGTATTATTTAAATGAGCTTATGTCTCATACATATTTTAAGCCCTGGGATGAACCCATAATACTCAGACTGGAAATATACGTATGTTTGCATAATGTCTAGCCGATTTACAAAGTTACTTGGGTGCTGCTGGCTACTGGTCGGAGCCTCGAGTGACCCATTGCCACAATCGACAAATTAACAAACAATTAAATTACTGAAAAGACCTTCTTCAAGTAGAGGGAGCAGTGTTTAATCGCATTTTAGTCGTTCAAAACGTCTAACCGGAAAAGGCTCGAAAGAAAAGCGCTTAATTCAGTTTGAGCCATTTTACTTCTTGAGCATATGCAA